ATCCAAATATGTAATGTAAAATAAAAGAAATCTCGATCGACGATCACTGAAACGCAGCTAGCAACTGTATACTCGAAAAAGCAATGTTGCCACTTTTTCTCTTTAAACCATGTTCGAATCGTGGAAATTTTGAAAGATCACAGGGTTGCTTTTAGCATTTAGATTCTTAATGCAAAAATGGAGTAGCATTTAGGTGACGAATTTTGTATGGATAAATGTACATTTAGAGTAGCATTTAGAGCTAAATGCTCTAAATGTGCTTTTACGCATAAGCAAAAACAGGCCATTACAGCCGAAAACATTTCTGTTGAAGGTTGCCAGCTGTTTGAAAGTTTTAATTCATTCATTTAATTGATAAGATAAATTGAACATTACAATATGGATAACAAACTGAATAGGTTTAAGAAAGTTTACTACGGATAATATTTTAGAGGAGGGTTGCCACCTGTTTGAAAAATATGTGTTAAATTAAATTGATAAAATAAATCAATGATTACAATACGGGTATCAAATAGCACAAAAACACTTTCAGGGCGCAGTGAGGCACGCCGGGCATTTGCTAGTATATAATAAATTTAAACAAAAGTATTACATGCCGATAGCTGTTAATTAAAATCTGCTGTTTCTTGCTGCGATTTCTGGCCATTGGAGAAAGCAACAAAAACTGTTAAATAAAAACTAGATGTTCAAGAACCGGAGGATTTAAAAAATTGTCAATCCATACTTTTTTATTTATATTCATTATAATTTTTAAGTGCAATCTCTTGAAGAAGAATAACACACACATATACACTTATTGCATTTCCGTTCTTACAGATACGATCGATGCTGACTTATTTGGAAGGCGCACGCTTCAAATTACACTCGGCGCTTTTAGAATTAGATCACAAACCCAGGTCGTCGCATCCACTAGCGCAGCATATACAGGTGAGTGCGGCACACTTTTGAACCATTTGACAAAAAAAAAAAAAAAAACTATTAACTGACTTTCGGGTTTTCAATCTCTTAGGTCACACGCGATCGCACTGGCCTCCAACAAAGCGTACTAAAAGTACCACTTTGGCTGAAGAATAACGATCGCATGAGTCAGGATGACGGCAGCGCATCTGTGCACGAGAACGAATACGAATGTGTAACACAATCGAACAATTCTTCGAACGCCAGCTGTACAGACCTCAGCAAGGATCTCTCTACGCAAATTCAATCGCAGCAAGAGTAATATCGAAACGCTCAGCAACAAGACACAACTCTGCATCGCCAGCATTGATAAAACAAAGACCATACCAGCGACTATCGACGATCCTTACAGCGATCGCGGACAAGCCGATGGTGGTTCAAATCAACAAGATTCAGATTTCGATGAATTCAGCTCACAGGACGATGATGATGAGCAAACGACGACAACCAGCTCCTCGGGACGTAAGGAGCATAAGGCGATTATAGAGAAGAGTACGATGTTGGCTAATGGCACCGCAACGGTTATGTCGACGGGAGCGGCGACCAAGGCACCAACAACGACGCCCACAATCTACCAGAATGCAGCAGAGGCACACAATGGACAAACACATAATGGCAATGGCAATGGCAATGGTACGCCGATTATACTAAGTAGATGCAAGGCGCTATACAGCTACACACCAAAACTGTATGACGAACTGGAATTGACGCCAGGCGACATTATTGAAGTGCATGCCAAGCAAGAGGATGGCTGGTGGCTTGGCGCCTTAGGCAATCATGTGGGCATCTTTCCAGCGACCTATGTCGAAGAATTCGCATGAAGGATATAGAATTAGTTATTATTAGGTGTAAAGTAATTAGGGGCGAAAATCTAGTGGTCAATGGTGTGAAAGAGAGGTAGTTATATGTATGTATAACTGTGCATGAAGCGAGTCGACTGTCCAGTTGGCCGAAAGTAGCAGCGTGCAATGGTCGAAAGCCGTGTTTAACTATTTCTATAGTTGTAACTTGTCTTCCCTACGACTGCCAAAATGGGTTGCGTTCAACATGACCACCCTTAAGTACAGAACAATAAAACGTGGCCTGCCTGACTGCCTACTTGTCACTCTCAAATTAAGCCTATGCACATTCTATTATGAGGCCTTGAACATTTTTTGATAATCAATTTTCGGAAGCAAAAGAATATATGAAAATAGTATGTATTTAGGTTAGCCATGTCTACCCTGTGAACAAAAGAATCTGATTCATCATCAATATACAGAACGCATGAAATATTTTTGATTCGTTTTCGTTGAAATGTTTATTTTAAATGGTAGTTGTAAGGAATTAGAAGTTGTTCTATTGCATTACTTATGTATTTCTATATATTTATACATATGTATGTATTTTGAAGCGCATAATTACGTAACTAAGTCTAACTTCAATAATATACATACGTATGTATTTATGTGGATTCATGCATCCGCTTTGGAAAAACAAAAAAAAAACAAATAGAAGCAACATAAAAGAGTTTGAGGGCGAAAAAATGCTTGAAATCAATTGGTATTTAACTCATGTTTTAATGTAGTAAAGATTACGTAATTTAATGTCTACTTATATATTTACATACAATTATTAATAAAATGTATTCTTTGAAACATATGAAAAGTGAGAAGCTGGATTTATACATGTTTACATTAACAAAATGATCCATATTCCTCTTATTTGGAGTAAGTACTCGTACTTTAAAACAAAATTACCTATTAAGAATAATCTGCGCAAAAATATAGAGCTATTTAATCATAACTATACGATACTCACATATTGAAAGGTTTACTATTTATTTTAATACTTTTTAATTTGAATATTTAGTGTTTGGTTATTGGCCTTTGAATTATAAACTATGATGACTTTCATTTTTTAACTGAGACCTAGCAAAGCATAAACTCCAGTTTAAGTTTTAGTAATTTTTATTTTTTAATGTCGATATTTCGACCTCAATCTGAGGTCATCCTCAGCAACTCTTAATCCCCTTTTGAGGTCAGAATATCGACATTAAAAAATTTAAACTGGAGTCTAGGCATTTGCTGGGCCTCGAGCTTAAAAAATAAAAGTTATCGGAGTTTGAATTTTTTCTATAAAATTTTAGTTTATTATTCAACAAAAACTGCCTAAATCCAAGTTTCAATGTTTGTGCAATATTTCGAAAAAGTCAACAAATTTTCGTAGAAATTATGAGCTTTTTAATTAGATTAATAAAAATATTTTGTATGCAGTAGTGCAATAAAGTGCAAGTTTGAAGTAGCTGGAACTTTCTGTTGATTTTTGGGAATTTAATTTGTTTGACGATGTCGGTAATTTTCTTCCATACGAAGTGTATTCGACGATTCCATATAAAAATATGGAGAAAATGAGCAACACATTCAAACAAAAAAAAAAAAAAAAAAAAAAAAAATTGGCAAAAATTAAGACCAAGCGCAATCTACTTTTAATTTGCGGGCTACAAAACTACATAACCAAAATTTTTCTAAGAAATCGAATTAAGAAGCTCAAAATTTTTACGAAAGTTTGTTAATTTTTTTGTTTAATATTGTACGAAGATTGAAACTTGGATTTGTACGGTATTCGTTAAATAAAAAAATTTTATAACAAATATAAAAATAAATAGTCAAATATAGTCAATATGTGAGTGTCGTATAGCTAGGATAATCAAGTGTCGTAAAGTTAGGATAAGCACTATATTTCATAAATTGTAATCTTTGCGCTGAAATTGCCGATATGTTTGCAAGGAACATGTTGCGAAAACATTTGTTGCGAAACCATGTCAGAACTGCTGCATGCGATCACTAGTAGCAAACATGCTGCTAGCAACATTATTGCGGAAATTGACGTTGCAGGGTTGCTCGTACGAGCCGCATTTCCGTCCGTCCGACGCCCTGTATCTGGCCATCAGCCTGGATGTATGCACTTCCGCTGCATTCCGGAAGTCGCAAAAAAATTTGCCTGGGTAACCTTCTGTGCACTTATGCGCGCCTGGTAGTAAGGTGGATATACAGTACAAATTTTGCACCTTTTGCAAGTTGCCCCGGATGCAGGAAATAAAATAGTTGTTTATTTCTCGCGCTCAACCTAGATTTATGCAATGCTTTCAGATTTCCGGCAGTGGCAAAATAAACAGGGTGACATTGTTGCAGTTCTAGGAAGCGCTTACACCCAGTACACCAAGCCTAGATATATGCAACGTTGTTGCATTTCCGGTTGGCAAAAAAGTTGCCGGGCTGCCTGCTGTACGATTATGGGCTCCTGGTAGAAAGGAAAAATGAGTTTCGAGACCCGCAGCAGCAGAACAACAACAACAACAACAACAACAACAACAACAACACCAACAACAACGACAACCAGAACATAAAGCGGTGGGGCTGTGGCATTGCGTTAATTTACGAAAATATCAATTATTGACGTATGAAAATTAAATTTTATTTGAAATATGTAAATGCAGTATATCGAATCTACATTTTTAGTGCGACGGAATGTTTACACTTCGATACCATTTGCTTTTTTCATGTTTTTCTTCAAGTGCATATAACATTTTTAATAAATAGATATTTATGGATTATGATAAAATAGCTTTTGCAATATGTGATTGCATTAAAATTACAACAACAATATATTAAATAAACTATTGCCATTCACTTTGCAACCTAACAAATTTCCTATGTCTGTCCGCTTTCCTTTCCTCAATTAGCAGCTAAACCTCATTGGAGCCCTCCAAGCTGCGCAGTTTCTGATACATATTAATGTAGTGAGCCTGCAGTTGTTTTTGGTAATTCAACACTTTCTCACGCTCCTCACACCACTGCCGCTTCTCCAGCTCGAAATTAACTCGCACATCATCCAGCTGCTTCCGCAACTTGCCGATCTCCTGCGCATAGCTCGCCGACTCTTCGATCAATGTATCCAGCGTTGACTCCTCCAGTTTGTTCGGATTGGAATGCGAGTACTTCAGTGGCTTGTGATTCATAGCGATGTCGGGTAGGTTTTGTGTGCCGTAGACAAAGTTCTGAATATCCGTAGACATCTTGGCTAAACGCTTCTCAGCGCACAGCTTACTTTGGTCCCGTTCATTCTCACTCTCATCGGTATCGTCGAGTGGTGGCGCTATTTTGAGACTATTTATAATCAGTTCCAGATTTGTGTCATCGATGACCTTTTCCTTTGGCGCGGCTGCACTCGCATCGGCTTTGCACGCATGGCGGCGTGTGCGATTACAAATGTCGGTTAAGTTATCCAGTTGTTGCTTGAGGCGTATAAAGCGTCCGGATGGTTCCTCCCCGTATTCCTGAAATATCGCCAAGTCAGATAGCTCTTTGCGCAGCTTGGCCAACTCGTTGGTGAGCGCGAGTATTACTTGATCCTTGAGTATGATGATTTTGTTCAATTGCTTCAGTTCTGTTTCGGATTGTTTGTCGGTGCGTGCCTGCTGCTGCTCGACTTGCTTTTGTTGTTTAGTCATTTTATGGTTCTCCTGCAAGCTTTCGTAAATTTGTGTTTCGGCATTGGTGTTTTCGTGGCGTAGATGCACAATGGCGTGCTCTTTCATTGTGATCTCCACCTGGAGATGAAAGGAAAATACAATAAGATATTTAGTAGAAAATATTTTCGTAGAATGACTCACATTAGCCTCTTTCAGCTGTGACTTGAGCAAAGCGAGTTCCCCATTACGTTCGCAAACTTTCCACTCGCTCTCTTCTAGCTGTGCTTTTATACCGGAAATGGTATTCTCCGATTCGCGCAGCTGTTCTTCAATATAGGCGACGCTGTCTTTTAGATTACGCTCTGAGTTCTTTAGGCTGCTATTGGTACTCCTGGAAAATGTATGTAAAATAAAAGATATAAAAATCCACTTAGATACTTCTACATAATTATTTATTCGAAGGTAATTTTAAATATTTTACTACAATTAGTCCATATATGCCTGCATAGTATTTACTTGAAATGCCCCGTTCTTGCAGAATTGATGTGGTCGGTGTCATAGAGTTGCTAAATCACACCACACCAGAAGAGGAAGAGTCTCTTCCTGCCAGGGGTTTCGTAATATAGCCTCTTTGCCTTTGGACTCGAAGGAATGAGTAAGAGGTACCGAGCTGCATTATGAGATCGATGATGCTTGTAAAAAAGTATCATCTGATCGTACTTAAATCATAAAATTTTGTCCAGAGACTGCTTGAATGTTGTAATAATAACAAGTAATTTTTAGCAAAAAAAAACCGACTTCAACTCCCATATAAAAAAAATATATATATATATATCTCATGATCCGCTGATCGGATCTTAACCAGATTAGTATGGGACCACCTCTGAGACACTACCTTTCCGATGCAAAAAGAATTATCGAAATCGGTTGACGNAAAAAAAAAAAAAAAAAAAAAAAATATTCCGACGAACTGATAACCTCCTCCTTTTTTGGAAGTCGGTTAAAAATAGTTCAAAGCCAAAATACACTCGGAGGAAAGCAATTGCCTGCCGATTTCTAATTGAAATGTTGCTTGGACTAGGGATCAAATCCATGTATACGGCGTGGAAGTACGCACGTCTAACCACTCAGCCACAGAAGTCGCCGTTGTAGGACTAAGGCCCAGTTTCTTAATGTCTGGTTAACACTAACTACAGTTTAAACATCGCTATCGACGTTATCCACTTCCTGTTATACATACATACATATGTTATGGAGTCGATCACGTCCATAACCATGTTTAACCTGCGAGTCTTCTGAAAAATTTGTGAATTAGACATTGAGGAACCCTTTTTTGTAACTTTTCTAGAAGATTATTAGACGAATCATTATAGTCTTTCGCGCGTCTTTCATTGAGTTTCTTGTGGTTGTTAAGCGGATTCTGTACGATTTGTTTTACAGTGGCAAGTATCGTAACTTTTTCGATTTCATGTTGGAAAGCGCCATCTGAATTGCAGCAGCAACATATTCGTATGCAGATGGCATTGACATCGTCGCCCTGAACACGGAGACGGTCAGCGAACCATTCTCCGGCTTCGAGAGGGAATTTGGTCGGGCGGTGAATGAAAAGAAGGCAAAACCCCTACTGGAAACACACAAAGAGTCTTCGCATATTAGGCCAAACGTCACTTTGACAGTCAAATTATCACCACAAATAATGTTAGCCTTGAGCTGCTTTGGGCTCGGTAGGTAATATAAAAGCAGAGCTCTATTTTATATGATGCAGAAACATGGAAGATGTCGGCCAAAGATGAGAAGGCAGGATTTTGGGCATGTTCATTTGGGCGTCCGATATCGATGAATTTTCTATGGCACACTACACGAGATTTGCTTTAAAATCAACATAGTCAAACGCATAAAAATGCCACGATAGCACTTGCAAGTATAGATGATGTCACTGGCTGCACAACGGAAGCAAGGAAAGAAGTGAGGGCAAAAAGACCTGCCCACATTTGGTGTGAACAACTGGAGTAGCTTGGGAAAGGAGAAAGGAAACTGGCGAAGTGGTTTGACATCGGCGCAAACTGACAAGTGGTTGTAGATTTGGCCAATCTATGTACATACATATGCGTTTTTCCGGTGGCTGTTAAAAGTGGGTGAAATTTTAGACTTGTTCCACAAGCTACTCGAAGTCACTTCGAGTTATACATACGCGTTCCACAAGTAAGTTTACGAGTTTCTTTGATATACGCTCACAGTTTGAACTTTGCTTGAGTTTTTCTACAAGTAGCTTGTGGAACAAACCTTTTATAAGCAATAAGCATATAATATGGCTTAGTAAAAAGTTGACATTTTGGATGAGCACTAGGCCTACTAGTCCATCCATCGAGAATTGTACCTTCTCGGAAAAATTGCTTTCGTTATTTAAGTAAAATGCAATGTAAGGACTAAATATACCACTGAAAGCATTCACACCTCCAAAGCATTTGCACTACCAAGCGCATAGCAACGCGCCATTAACTCCAACCACTGCGATACCATAGCAACGCAGAAACACCACCTTATATAAACACGCCTAGGGTCAAAACGATACTAGTAAATACAAGTACATACTCGATACTTTTCGTACGATACCAAATAATATTGGTATCGATACTTTTGAAACGAGTACTGAGTAGGTATCGGAATAAAGTACTTGTATCGAAACCCGATTCAGTGACAATTTTATTCCCGGACTTTCATTATTTAATTTAATTATTTTTGTGAATTGTTAAACTTTTTTGTCAAGTTTAGTTGCCAATGAAAAGTAAGTTCTAAAAAGAAAGACCTATTATCATCGCGATTAACATATCGCTAGCTTAAAGTGGAAAATTGCTAAGTCCACTTTTTGTGGAAACTTATATTTAGATATAGGAAGCAAGGTAAATTAAAAACGCAACGTTTCAAAAGGATTAACTGCAAAATAGAAATTATTTATCAGTGACCGAGAACAAAAAGATTGATCGAAACTAAATGTCGTTCTGGTAGTTTTGTACCCAAGGACACTTAAAAATCTAAACTGAAATGAGAACAAAATTGCAGAATTTGAAGAGATGGGGAAGAAGAAAAAACAATTGAGCGCTTCTTCGGTAGCTACCCAGCTTTAGTTTAGGGCAGAACGGGCTGTCTGGGTAGGCACTTTTTCAGCTTTCTCTTATTATACTATCCGGTGTAGGAATAAAACGCTTCATAAGAGCTTCGAAATTGTTCTATGCAGAATAGTCACACTCACCTGAGTATCTCGTTGTCATTTTTCAAATCGGCCAACTGTTCCCTCAGCTTATTCGTTTGTTCTGTCTGTCTCAGCTTGTGTTGTTTGAATTGGAATTGTTGCATTGCCAACATTTGTTCCATTTTTTTCATCTTAAGCAGGAATTCGCGCTGCTGAGCCTCATAGTATGCCTTCAAACGCTTTGTCTCTTGTTCCCAGAAATTCTCTTTATCCTAAAAAAAAGTGTTGGAAAAAAAAATAAAAGCAAAAAATTAGCTATTACTCAGACTGTTCTTCGGTTGCGTAAAATGCATTAAACCTTTTGTACTCTGAATATTACTTTCTCATTGTGTTCCATTGTTTGACGCAAATAGGACAGTTCCGAATCGCGATCCTTAAGCGCTGCCTCCAAGTCTGATATGCCCGAGTCGGATGGTGAAGGTGTCATGTCGCACTGCTCGCTCAGCAGGTACTTGCCACCGGCACAACCATTGTTGCTGCTGTGCGAGTTGCTGCCACTGCCAGCTGTGCTGCCCACGCCAATGCAACCAAAGCCGTTTGCGCCACAAAACCCATTGCTGTTTATGGCATTTGCATTGTTGTTGATATTGTTGTTGTTGCTAGCAGTCGATTTACTGTGAATGCCAATAAAATGAATTAGATGAATATAAAAGTTTCTATTTGCGATTTCCATTTTTAATTTATAGGTTTTTTCCTCAATATTTACTACGTATTTCCTTGGCTTACATTGTGCTACTTTGGCTATTCGCATCCGAGTCTGGTGTATGCCGAATCGATTCCATGCTATCGTTGATTTTCAACGATCTGGAGCCACGTCGACGCGCCATAAGACTGTTGCAATAATTATTGCTTGAATAAGCGCCAACAGCAATGCCGCCAGTTGCAGCGCCAACGCCACCACCATTACCTACGCTGCCACAAACACCACCAACGCCAGCGCCACCATGGCGCAAATCTGACGTGCCTGGACAAAAAGAAAAAAAATCAAAAACAAAAACGAAGAAGAAGCAATTAGAAATCGCTGCCAAATGAAAACATATAAGCACAGAAGCATGTATGTAGAAATATGTACATACATATATGTAGTTGCTATCATTAATTAAATAAACAGTATTGCAATATTCATTTCGAAACGAGCAGTTCAACTCCATAAATGTGCCTTATGAAACCGAAACTATCAGCTACTAATTAAAAACACACACCTGCACACACCCCGTCAATATTCAATTCCCTACATGCACTGTAACTTGTGTAATTACGCGTACATATTTACATACTCTGTAACTACATATACAAAGTTCTGTAGTCGATAATACCAGGATTTCGGAACAAAATTTCGTATTTAGATAAATGGCAATCCTATGAGTAGGGATGGCAGCGATTAATCATTTGATTAAATTAATCGATTATTTTTATCCCATTTACGATTTAATTGCAATGTAGTTGCGTGTTTCATTAATCGATTAATTGTAAAATAATCGTAAAAATATTTTCAGGAAATATGAATTCTGTAGTTGTCCGAAATCCATCCATCGAATATTCTTTTTAACCGACTTCCAAAAAAGGAGGAGGTTATCAGTTCGTCGGAATCTTTTTTTTTTTTTATGTATGTTACCGCATAACTTTGGACCACGTCAACCGATTTCGATAATTCTTTTTGCATCGGAAAGGTAGTGTCTCAGAGGTGGTCCCATACTAATCTGGTTAAGATCCGATCAGTGGATCATGAGATATATATATATATATTTTTTTTTTTATATGAGAGTTGAAGTCGTTTTTTTTGCTAAAAATTACTTGTTACAAGCTTTTATTTAACTTGCTCTGTATGTATGTATTGATCTTGCACCCCGACAATACAATACAAAATTTAAGTTAATACGACGGTNCAAGCTTTTATTTAACTTGCTCTGTATGTATGTACTGATCTTGCACCCCGACAATACAATACAAAATTTAAGTTAATACGACGGTGGCGCAGAAGTCGGGATAGTTTTGAAAACCCGTGTCTATATACCGATTTGGTTTATATTGAGAACGTATATTAACTACGTAAAAAGGAATAACTCCACTAAAAAATTTTGCCGATAGATAGCTCATGATTCGATATATTTTGAACACCAATATTTATGGTCTAATTTAGTTCATATTTAGAAAGCCTCCTTTAAAAATATTTGTTTTTACAATTAATTTATTTGCTAGCTGCATCAACTTTACTCTACCCGAAATTCTTGCGAAATGAAATAATGTGCGCAGATGATCTTATGAAAACAGGTAGCGGGTCGTCACAAGAAGCAGTAGAAAATGAGTTCGATATTTGGGCCCCTCATAAATCTCTTGTACACAAACGACGCCGAAAAGATGAGGATTTGGGACACCCACAAGATGAAATGAGTTTTTATTTAAATTGAGAAGTCCTAGAACTACAGCGGAATATCATCGACGCTTGGGAAGAAATGAAAACTGTTTACCAAAAACTTTACGGACTTTAGAAAAAATACTGTCATTTAGTTTGTACCTCGGTGATGGTATCAGTTCATGTTTTTGCTCAAAACAGTTCGTCACTAGTTTGAGGAAGTAAATTTACTGAATATAGGTAATAATTTCCTTAAATAATTTTAAATTTTGTCAGTGGTGTTAGCACGGTTGCCGTTTTGGCCGAAATGTACAATTTTTGGTAAGTTTTTTTTTAGTTTGGTTTTGTTTTTTAAATCTGGCAAAATGAGAAAATTATTACTAGTTAAAGTTAATTTCTTTCCTGGAAAATGTCGGCTGCGGCGTCGCGTAAATACTACTGCTTCTGATTCTGAGATCGCAAGTTCGAGTCTGGTTGGGGTTGGTTAGAGTAAGGTAAGTCAATTATTTCATTTTAAATATTAACTTTAAATTACGAATTGTAAAATCTGGTTCTGAGTACGCAGTTTCGAGTCGGCTTGGAGGCGGTTAAAGTAAAGTAAGTCAATTATATCAATCAAATATATAGACTGCTGAGTGGAAGATCGACCTATCTCGACAGCCAGTTTGAAAACGTCCTATCTCAAACAAATTTTCAAGAACGCCCTATTTCAGAACTTCAAAATGTATTGACAATGTGCTGATATAGGGCGTTTTTGATTCGGTAGCTGAGATAGGGCGTTCTGAATTCTGAAATTAGGTGTTCTTCAACCAAATTCTGAAATAGGACGTTTTTGAAACGTTTTTTGAGATAGGGCGTTTTCAAACTGGCTGTCGAGATAGGTCAATCTTCCACTCAGCTGTCGATATACAGTATCGGTCATATCTATAGCACGCCATTTCAAAGTGATATTGTGTGCCACTTATGCTTATTTATTTATTTTCAAGAATTTTCAATTAAAATACAGTTCTTTCTCTAACAAACCCCATATAAACCCAAGTTTAACAATTTGTAGAAAACTTTAAAAAAGTGCAACAAATTTTCACCTAAGTTTCAAACTTTTTTCTCGGAAGTGTTAGAATTTTGTTGAGTACAGTAGAAGGCCGGCGTGAGGTCATGAAGATGCCTTTGGATTAAAGGCGAAATATCATCTAATTACTTTATTATACTGTGTTTATTATACTTTGTTATATACAAGGTGTCCTAAAACACACGTCCAACCCCTTTAAAATTAAATGTTTGTTAAATCGAGATTGCTCTATTTTTGGTGATATTACCGACTTCTGGTTTCGACCGGAAGTGGGTAAAATTGGCCGGAAGTCTCTTTTTTATATTAGTCATACAGGTTTTTATTGCAGATTCGAATTCTGAATATAAAAATATATAAATTTTGTTTGACAGTTTTTTTCCAGGAAGTGCCTTTTCAACCTCTAAATAACCTTAAAACTCCAACTCGTCCTGTAGCTCTTTTCTGTAACTGTTCTCCACCGATTATTTCTCCAGTGGTAGAGAATATACGTCATTCTCTACTACTCATTAGCAGTAAAGAACATATATGAATTCGCCTTGGTAGAGAATTGTTACAGAAACTAGCTACTGGAGTGGAAAAAATATGAATTACCACCATATTACTGACTTCTGGTTTAGACCGGAAGTGGGTTAAACAGATAGGAAGTCTATTGGTTTAACCGGAATCCGTTGTAAAAACATGTACATGCATACATATTTCCCATTAAAAAAAAGTACTTCTGGACAGTTTAGCCCACTTCCGTTGGAAACGGGAACGACCAAAGGGTAAAGCATCCCTACATGGTAATTCATATTTTTTCATTTTTCATTATTCTACTCTTTCAGAATGATTTGAGATCGACCAATGTTTCGTTTTAGTTGACTTAAGGCACCTCCTATTTACCGCAATGGTTCGTATTGATCGCATATCGTAAATTTTTGTATCGCATCTGTTTCGAGGCCACCCTGAACGCTAAGCACTTATGTCCTTAACCTTAGATCACTTGTACTCAAGAAAGCACCAAATACTTTTATGTGTGAGAAATCATCCCAAACCTACAGAAAATCAACCGGTGTGACGCAGAAAAATAAACAACCGCCTACAACGATCTAACATATCAACAGTCGATCGAGAGTTTCCCAACATTAATTGAGAATTTATGTACTTACTGCCAAAACGCATCGCATTTGAACCCTGAGCTGCAGCAAGTGATGGCGTTGAGCCGTAACGATCGCCCACAGCAGTTGCCGCCGTTGTCCCCGGTGCAATCGCATCGCCACCAGCCACATATCGGCCATTCTGTATGCTGTAGTCCGGCTCGAAGGGGATTGGCTTGAAGGCAATGGGGCGTAAAAGGTTTTCATACGACGTCATCACAGACAAAGTTGGTGTTGCTGTTGCTGTTGTCGCCGTCGTTATTGTTGTTGATGTAGTTGATGTGAGCGCTGCTGCTGCCTTTGGCTATTGTGTAAAAATAAATAATAATAAAAATTAAATGAAATACATAAATAAATAAAGAGTATGTAGAAATAATGAATGACTAAGCTAAAGCTATATAAGTATGCATGTGCTTATGTATGTATGTACATATGTATGCAGATAAATGAAGTTGAGAAAAATAATTGAAAGCGATTGAACGACCGGCCGACCGATCGACCCAGCAACCAAGTAACGATATTTGATGGCTGCGCGGTGCAACTGGGCACGGCCGTGAACGAGCCGGCTGTTGAGGGGACTAGTGTTTTTTGTTGTTGTTGCTATTGTTTGTGACACTGACACACCTAAGATTTACAGGCGCACCGCACAACTCAAGCGTAAGTGGGGTGCCGAAATTTGAGATATTATGCACGACTATGTGAGTATCTATGTACATATGTTTGCATGAAAGATAACAAGTAAGAAAGTCTAAGTTCGGGCGGAGCCGAACATTAAATACCCGGCGCAAGTATTAAATAGATGTTTTTTCACCTTTCCGAAAGCTACCGCTAGTTGGTAAGCCGGGGTGTATCAATTTTGAGTAAATTAGCGTCCTTAAATTTCGAATTATTGAAGTTTCAAGCCTTTCCTGAAATTTACCGTTATATAAAAAGCGGCCGTAATTTTAGTCCGATTTCAATAATTTTCAACGTTTTGCTTTTATGTAGCAAGCNCTGGCTACAAACCTGTTCGGTGGTTTCTCCACCACCACCAACACCACTAGCAGTGCCATGCAATGTTGTTGCCGTTTGACTTATTGCAGCTGAAATCTGTGGCAAGTGTGCCANAAATAAAGTCTGGCTACAAACCTGTTCGGTGGTTTCTCCACCACCACCAACACCACTAGCAGTGCCATGCACTGTTGTTGCCGTTTGACTTATTGCAGCTGAAATCTGTGGCAAGTGTGCCATGACGTCGCCGTCGGAACTGCGCTGCTGCTGTTGTTGTTGTTGTATTTGTTGTAGATGCTGCTGGTGTTGTTGTTGCGTTTGTTTTTGCTGCTGCTGCTGTTGATGTAGATGTAGGTGCGCCTGTTGACCCATTGAGGGCTGCGAGTGTTGTCTTTGCGCCTGCAAGTGCTGCTGAAGCTGATGTTGTTGTTGCACCAGTTGTTGTTGTTGCTGCAGCTGATGTTGGAGTCGTAATTTTTGTTTCGCATCCAATGCATTACCATTTGTTTTAGCGCCTCCGACGCCCATGCTCTCCGAAATACTCAGACGTTCACTCATTTCCGAATAACTGCTGCGATTTCCGCTTCCGTTGCCGGCCGTCAGAGTCGGCGTGGGCTTGCGCACAAGCTGTGGATGCTGCTGATAGGCAGCGTGAAATTGTTGCTGCTGTTGCTGCTGCTGTAATTGCTGTTGTTGTTGCGTCTGTTGGCGCAATTGCAGGCTCGGCATCGAGGTTGACATGAGGGCGGATGGGACGCCGGCGGCTGCGGCTGTGGCCGTGGCTGCGGCGCCGACAGATGTTGTGGCAGACTGTGGAAGGTGTAATCGCTGATTATCTCTATTGCCATCTACCACATCGTCAGTGCCAACTGCCTTTTTTCCTGCCGTTTTTTCTCCTCCCCCTCCACCAAAGGTGCGCTTTTTGGTTATCTCAAATATTTGGCGTATATTCTGAAACTTTGTCCGCCCTGCACCGGGCATCGCGTCCTGGTCCAAACTACTGTGACTGCCGAATTTCTGTCCACGCAAGCGCTTTTGCTCATTGCGCGACTTCAGCGTGCCAGTGTGATTTACCATCGCCGTTGTCGGTTGCTGTTGCTGTTGCTGTCCTCCCACAGAAGCTGGTAAGCCAACTGTGCCTTTCGCTGTGAAGGAGTTGCCATTCTCCAACGATGCGGACCGGAAATGTCCACGCTTCGCAAGTGTTGGCGACGGCTGGGCGATATGTGCAGGGCGGGCGGTAAAGGAGGCGGTGCTGCTGTTACTTTTACTACCAATGCGGCCACTTATGCCCAGTGATATTGTTGCTGGCTTTGTAGTCATTTTGCACTTTATTGTCGGCGAGTAATCAGGAATTGATCACCTCAAAGGAATATGGACGTGGTTACTGTAAATTCTCTTGACGTAATGCTGAGTTAGTTTTAACTTTTTCCAATCTGCAAGAAAGTACAAGGAAATGGGTTTTAAATTATTGCAGATATATAATTTTTTATTTAGCTATTTACGTATACATATACTATATGTTTAGCTGTAAATCCAGCAGTAATATATGTATATAAACCTAAAAGGTGAGTACTTATGTACTTGAGTTCATAAGTCTTAAGAGGCTAGACATTCTATACCTGGGTGAAACACCTATATTTAGGAATAATATAACAGAAAAGGTCTTAGATCTCACTCCATCCACTCCCTCTATTAGCAATTTCGTAAGAAAATGGAAAGTGTCTAGAGAAATTTCTTTATCAAAGCACAACTCAAAATAACACGATTGTCAAAAAAAAGCGAAAAACTATTTCTACTATTTCTTTGCACTTGCTAATCATATAGGCAACAGAGACTTTACCTTAGAGGTTTTCAACAAATTATAACAAAAATCTGCTCCAGATTTTGGTGAAAGGTAAATAAAAGCTCTGCCAAAAATGCCAAACCTGTCACAAACAGGGATCTATATTACGTAATTCTGCAGGACGGTCTAAGGTGTAAGCGCAAGGTAAATGACTTAGTCGATCTTGAACTTAGCTGCTAGGATCTGACATCAGCCATTGTAAATTCCTACCATGAATCCTGTCCAAAAGTCCCTAAGCTTAACAACAGACCGACTGAATGGTGGAATAACAACTTGGTTCAATTTAAGGCAAAAACCAGCAGGCACATTAACAGACCCAAAACAACTGGTGAATGGGAGAGGTACAAACATGCTCTCATCGAGTATAATGAAAGAAATTAGAACTCATGGACTCATTGCTGTGCAGGGATTAAGGAACTTGCAGGAAGCACAATATGTAATCCACAGAGTCATTACAAAAAACGCAAACGAGCGAATTAGGGCTCCTCTTAACATGCTAGCCGGGGTAAATCTTTCTGGTTGCTTGCCACTGGTATAGATGGCAGGAAGTGCGGTCCGCTACATCCAGAACAGTCAAAGCCATACTGATCCATCAGTTCATCGTAGGCAGGGATAGTTTTCTTACAGGAAATCATTTGGATAGAAACCAATTTTCCAGAAGATCTATTATCCACTCTTTCCGGATTCTTCCAAAGACGACTCTAATAGAAATTGCATCCGGCGCAGAGGGGTTGATGCAACCGCATTCCTCTGGAGTCAGACTCTTAGCCACGAAATGTTGCCCGCTAGGTGAAGTTATCTCCCCACTGCTATAATTCAACAAGCAACTATGCCTTCTTAATGCAAAAGGGCTTCGATTTTCGCAATTAGAACAAAAGCAACCGTGGCTCTTAAGATACATCTTAATAAAGAAATAAACTCTACAGTTTATAGTAAAGCTCAACTCTGAGGACACCACCTTTACACTTATAAGGACCATAAAATAAGAGAACGGGCTGGGCATTAACTTTGTGGGGATGTGCCTTCCAAGATTTAACTTTTCCCAAAATTTCAAGGTTTTGTCAAGCACATGAGCTTTTAATTCTGATCAGTGTAGACTCTGTCATGAAGAACAGGAGACAGCAGAGCACCTTCCTTCGCTTCCTGGGATCGATAGAAAACAGGTATTTTTTAATTTCAAAGAACTCGTCAGAATACAATTTCGTAGTACAAGTATCCATAGTAACCGCAGTCGAAGGCACTTTCATGCTACAATAACACGGTTAAGCAAAACCCGGAAATTTAGAAGAAATTGTAAGTAATCAAGTACAGGGCAGAAGCATGGTCGAGTAAATTACATACATACTTAGAAAACAATTTTGTTGTAGTTACTTTTTAGAAAATTTTAAGTCTAAATAGGAGCTTAGACAGTAGAAGGTTTAAATTTTATAAAGTGTTTGTAGCAAAAGTGTAGTAAAAAGGTGGAAAGGTTTTGAAAAGTTCTTAAACTTAAGCATTTTTTTGTGTATTTTTTCCACCTGGAAGGATTTTTGTCTAAAATTATATAAGCAACTTTTTTCCTTGAATATTACAAGATTTATACAATAAAAATATTGCTAAATATTCCGCTGTTGCGAATTCTTTCAGAGAAAGGAGGGCGTAACGCAAATCTTGCAAATTTCTTTTCTAAGAAGCGCAGTGAAAAACTAATAACTAAATATAATAAAAACAACAATAACGAAATCCAACTCCAAACTCGTTAGTAAAGGCAACCGAGTTGAAAGTGTTTATGGAAACACACTGTGCAAACCAATTTTTTTGATAAAAAAAACATTCATATTCCAATTTGAAGTACCGAAGAAATGCGGGATCTATGTAAATCTGAAATGGTGAAACCATGAATTTTAGTACGCCAGCTATGGATGACAAAGCAGAAGATGAGCTTCATTATCGTCTCTGCCGTCAAGAGCAAAGCGTAAAATTAATTTCACATTTTCGTTAGACAGCTAGAGTTGCTGCGCAATTGCGTTCCTGCCAAGTGAATGTAATGAAATTCTAATTGGTACCAAGTGAAAATGAGTTAGGAAATCTTTAAAGTGTATTTCGTGTACTTTAGACAGGTTTCAAGTGCCGTAAGAGCGTTTGACTGCAAGCGTTATAATCAAAAGAAAAAATTACAAGAAACAAAAATTATGCATAGACGTAAGTATGAATACACGGTGGTGGGCACATAAATAGGGATGCAACATTTTACAAGTTTGACCAATTTTTATTTTGTTAATTTTTTCTATAAAAGTAAAGTCTAAATTTCAAATTTCAAAACTTTGTGCAAGATTTATAAAAATTCGACGAACGTCTACGAATATTCATCAAATTTTCAAACTTTTTATTCAGAATCTATACATAGTATAATAAAATTGTAACAGGCCTATGCCTGTGCATTATATATATCAAAGAAAAATGAATATTGTCTTTATTAGAGACATAGAAGCCAACTCAACAATTTTTAGAATTTTTGTCTTTCTGTCTGTCTGTACGTCCGTCTGTATGTTTGTACGCGCATCACTCGAAAACTAAATCATGAAATTGAATGCAGTTTTCACTGATGTATTTCTAGAGGTCAAACTCAAAATATGGAAAGAAAAAAATTAGAGAGTTGCCACCTGTTTGAAAATTGGAGTTTAAGTAAATTGATAAGATCAAGTAAATATTGCAATATGGCAGTAAAAAAAATAGGTTTAGGAAGGCTTACAGTCTTAAATAATTTTGTGGAGGTAGTCACATGTTTGAATATTTTAATTTAATTCAATTGATAGAATAAACTAAATATTGCAATATGGGTATCAAACTGAAGGGATTTAGGAAAGTTAAATATTAAATTGATAAAATAAATGAAACGAAACGAAAATATTTTTAAGTTTTTAATATATTTTTTGTTTATAATTGGTTTATTACTTTGTATGAAAGAAAAAGCGTGACAACGTTAGCGAAAAAAAAACGATATGTCTAAAATCAACGGTAAGTCCCGGCTTTTTCAAACTTTGCCTTTATTATACCAAAAATTTATTGGGCTACAAAACTACATACCAAAATTGTTAAAAAAGGAGGTGGATCATAAAGTTTGAAATTTTTATGACACTTTGTCCAATTTTCCTAATTTTTTTTACAAATTTAGAAAATGAAATTTACATGGTTTTTACTACATAAAAAATAATAAGCATTAAATAATCAATAGAAAACTAGCCAAAGCTAGTTAAAATGTGAATCCCTCTTTATTTGCCCGCCACTGTATGAATGTATATGGGACATTCCAGCCGAATTCGGACACCATTTGGCTTTTGCAACTCTGATATTTCCATAATTTCCTTAGATTACAGTACCAATTGGTGGAGCCCCTTAACAATTTTTTTTTTTATTTGTGTTGTCTAGCCGTTTTCCAGATATCAATTTTTGAAACAAAACGTCCTTTATTTTATAAAAGCCTATAATTTTGGAAAAATAGGACAAAAAAAAATATAAAATCGAAAAAAATTTCAAAGCCGTATTCTTATTCATGATTCAATAATAAAAGCTTTGCTCAAAAAACAAAACAAAACAAAAAAACAAAATTGGCTCCCTTAGCAATCATAGAATCATGATTCTTATAAAAATTTCGAATTTTTAATATGAAATGTTGATTTGCTAATAATAAGTAAAGATAATATGTAAATATAAGTAATAATAATAAGTAAATATAAGTAATTTTTAAGTAAAAAACAAAACCGACTTTAACTCTCATAAAAAAATTTAAAAGTGCCTCAATGAACTTATGATCGGATCTAAACCAAATTACATAATAAAAAAAATTCCGACGAATTGATGATCGCCTCCTTTTTCTGAAGTCGGTTGAAAATTGGTCCCAAGGGCCTATTTCTCGCAAATTTTTGGGCGTTTAAACAAGGAACTTCTTTTCCAAATCGTTATCTCCAAAACGGCTGTAAAATTTCTCTATTGGTACTATAACATAAAAACTTATGCAAAAGCCAAGTGGTGTCCAAATTGGGCTGGAATGCCCCATATATGTACGTATATATATGCTGATGTGCATATGCTTCTAACAAAGAACACTCTTTGTTCTTTAGTTTTCTTATGTTTATGGCAAAAATTGGGTCAATATGTCGTTGACACGGGCATAACGTTGCGTTTGCGTTGATCTAATGTCGACTTGAAAGCGACAAGTCGCAAATTGACAGACTACTTGCAGCGGGCACTTAAAAATACGCACTCGAAGCTTAGACATTTTAATGCCATATATAATTTTTTACGAGCTCTGTATATGTATTTCAAGTGAGGTGAAATATATCTTAGTGTTTTTGTGCAACTTTAAACATTTAAGTATTAAGAAGTAATTTTTGAGGAGGAAGAAGTATATGGAGCAATTTCAAAAGTAGTGTGATTAAAATGAGTTACAATTTAATGAAAGCGATTTGCATGGAAGCTATTCGATACATACTATGTATGTAGAATAAACTCTTACAACTCAAAGAAAACTGTTTAGGATTTGTGCATAACTTTTGGTAATGCTAGGGTGAGCTCTATGCTAATAAAAATGCATTCATTGCCTATTGCAAA